GTCTAGTAAAAATAATGCCGAATGAAAGCAACTCGAAAGTATAAGGGTATAGAAACCGCGAAAAGTCAATACTCAACTATTATGATCAAAACGCGTTCTGTTCAGGGTAAGTGCTCGGAAGATACGTTAAACCGTTGGTCCGGGCTGCATATGCAGTCGTTTACACCCACATGCGTGGTGGGTGATGCCCAGTCTCCTTATACACTTCGATTCGATTCTATCCACAGTGGAGGTATGTGCCCTAACACTAGGGACACTAATATGCTGATGATGACGATATAGGAAAAAAATACAAGTAAACACATTACACTACTTTGCGTCGCACAGTCGGGTAAAAAGATGTATCTTATCACCGTGCCTTGTACCGTCCGGTTCTCTCTGCTTACCCCTCAAAGTATACGGCTTGAATATATAAATATACTTTCCGCCCTCGCTAGGTAGCGTAAATAATTAATTTGGATATCGATTCATACACTGATATAATTACAAAAGAATTACAATTATTAATTAAATAGTAAGCATGTATAGCACCGTTTCAATTCCTTACACCAATTTTCTCTTTCGTTTTCATCCCTTTATTAGCTGTTTCGGGATATAATACAGAAAATGTCCACCTCATATGGTGTAGTAAAAGAATTTTTAAAATCAGTCAAGTAGTTTTAGAACCTATTTGATGCATTAAAACATACAAACAAACATTAAATTTTTTCCTCTTTATAATATATGTATAGATATAGTATATGATGATAAATATTCGTGCTGCTAGTAACTATTTTTTTTTTCAAAATAATAATATAATAATTTACAAAATAACTTTCTATTGTCTAATTTATTAATCAGTCAATTCAACATATTACTACTACAACATTTGACCTTACATTATTTTTAGTAAAGCTGCCGACCCACAGACGAAGATGGAACAATGACGTAGAGACAACTGAGGAATCCAATTAACTTCCCTTCCTTTCCACCGGCTTCAATTATATCATCAATCACAAACGGCTCACCATAATGTACTACGGAAATTAACAAGTATTGTATGATTAATAAACATTTACAAAATACACTTTACATTATCATCAGCCCTTTTTCGTTCTTACTGCAGGGGACCAGGCCTTCCATATTGGTTAAGGAGGATGGGCCACTCTCGACACTGATCCAATGCGGATTGTAGGTTATCAACGATTCAAATATAGCCAGGACAAACGGCTTAACGTGCCTACCGAAGCACTGAGTAACTCAAGATAATAATTTTTGGGTCACCCATCCCGACCCTTGCGAAATTTCCTTAACAACAATTATCGTGGACGTCGGCGCTGCATTTCATCCATATCCTGAAACAGAAACACTTAATTCCTAAAAATATATATAATTTTTTTTTTTTTTTTTATAATTTGAAAGTGTCTGTAATACCCCACTAAAACTAAGAAGTGTTGTAAAACTGTGATCATGGCCTAGAACGTAGCATAATAATCTTATCATTAATTTTCCTTACTTGTTGTTTCTAGCCCACGTTAACTAGTCTGTCTCACGAAATAGGTCCCACGCCAATTTGTGTAACTAAAATGACAGATCGGCCATGTTATCGTTGTCAGGTGTTGTGATTGGTTCTTACGTATTTTGTTACGTATATATTATATATATATCGGCGTATCGCGCCTTACTATACCAGAGCAGAGCTGGCAACTTTGCAGTGCCCTCTAGCAGAGCGTTGTGTCGATGAGAGCGGGGCGGGCATTACCGCGAGATAGTTTAGGTCTATGGTCATGTCGCCAGCGCACCACGTCTTCAACGAATTGCTTTCGATTGTTTAAAATATAATTTGTATTAAGTAATCTTAGAAAGTTCTTTTTGTGTGATTATTTAAATTATTAAGATAATACAAGTGAGATTTAAATATCAGTGTGTCTGTTTTAATATCCCGCCCACATATATAGGCCATCTTGAGCTTATATATACATATATATTATATTGTGTATATATTATATTTACATATCTCCTCCTTGGTTGGGAATTCCAAATTCAAATTTATACAGCCATTTACACATGTATTTGTGTTTCGTTAGGGGCATTCATTTGTTTTTTTCTTCTGTTTGTCCTATTTACGTTACCCAGTATAAAAAATGGAAAACTTGAAAAATCGGGTTATTTACGAGTACGAGTTCCACCTCTACGGCTCTAAGGGTTAATCATGTTTATGGCGGTTGTGTCGCAAAAGAAAACACAGTGCGTTTTTGCTTCCAACGTTTTCGTTCTGGAAATTTCGACCTGCAGAAGAAGCCCCGTGGACGGCCGGAGACCGAAGCTAATAATGAAGAATTGAAGGCTATTGTGGAAGCGGACCCATCGCAAACCACGCTTGACTTAGCTACAGACTGCGGTCTTAGTGATAGAACTGATTTAATCCACCTGAAGCAAATTAGAAAGATTAAAAAGCTTGAAAGGTGGGTACCTCACAAATTGAGTGAAGCAAACCGGCAAACGCGCTTCGACTGCTGCGTTACATTACTAAACCGGCACAATAATGAAGGTTTTTAAATCGAATAATTATCTGTGATGAAAAGTAGATTCTCTACGATAATCGGAAGCGATCATCGCAATGGTTGGACCCTGGCATGCCAGCAAAATCCTGCCCCAAGCGAAAGATGACCCCAAAAAAGTTACTTGTAAGCTTTTGGTGGTCTAGTGCCGGTGTCGTTCATTATAGTTTTCTCAAATCTGTCCAGACGATTACGGCAGACGTCTATTGTCAGCAATTGCAAACCGTGCTGGAAACTAGCTGTTAAACAACCGAGGCTGGTCAATCGCTCTACGCCACTGCTACTTCACGACAACGCTAGACCACACACTGCACAACAGTCGGCTACCAAATTAGAAGACCACCAATTGGAATGTTTAAATCCACCGTACTCCCCAGACCTTGCTCCAACAGATTACCATTTTTTCGAAATTTGAATAACTTCTTGCAAGGGAAAAATTCAACTCCGATGGGGCAGTGCAAATCTTTTATTTTATTTATTTATTTAGCTCAAAAAACAAGTTACAGTAATATAATTGAAATAAATATACATTACTAAGGAATAAACTAATATATTCACTAATATATTCCTGGGACGTTTAGACTTCTCGTCCATCTTAGCAACTCTACGACAAGCGGTTATTTGAGTATCATCGATCGTCATTCCAATGGTATTACAAAATTTTTTGAAAATTGTCATTATATTTTCTGTGCGACTTTCCGGAACTGCTTGTAATTCCACGTTATGACTACGAGACATATTCTCAATGCTAGATAATCTATTATTTAATAAATTGAGTTCGGATTTAAGTTTAGTGTTATCATCCTCCAACATTTTTATCATTTCATTCTTCTCAGAAATTTGCGACTGCAGTGTCACCTGCTCGGCACAAATGAAATCAGTCGTTTTCGAGAAACTATTTTCCAAATCTTTAACTATGGTTGTAACCTCTGAGTGAACCATTTTTCTTATATCCTCCCGTATAGCTAAGCGAAAATCAGCCTTAAAAGTCTCTAGCGAGACCCTCAAGTTCGCCTCAAGTACATCCGACACAGAAGTTTTTATTTTATGGTCTAGTAAATTACTTATTCCTTCCATTGTGACCACGTCCCCTCCCAACCCTAGCAGCCCGCTCACAGCCGAACGATCGCCCTCGCTAGCGGTATTGAGTAAGCTGTTATCGAGTGACATATTCATACCAAGATCACAATTCGACGACTGATGCGTGCGGATTGGTGTATTAATATTGGAGCCGCGGCGACGAGTATTGACATTAGTACAAGTTGGACACATCCAAGACGCCAGCGAACGAGCATTCATTTGAACAAAATTATCCCTGCCTATACTTAGACATTGCCGATGGTATTTTCCTGCACATTTCTTGCATGTTAGTATGACATCGCTTTTGCTTAACCTCGTATTACATTGTGCACTGCAATCCATATTTACCGTAAAGAGTCTCATGCAAAAAAATGACACTCGCACGCCCTCATACGATAGCAGGTTAAATTAAGATGGCAAGGTGGGTCAATAAAGCAAATACAGCACTAGCTCGCCAAAAGCAACCAGCGGTGTTAATAACAGCAACGACCCCGCAATCCTTATAGCTGTTACTTGTTATATTGACCGATACAAGCTAGCACTCAGAAGTCTAAACAGATTGCGACACCTATGCAAATCAAGGATGATACAGCAAATTTGAAATAAATGTCTATTATAATTTTGGTAACTAGGTACTTCCCGAATTTCCACAAACAGTCACTGCAAAGTACAGGCACAACTCAACCAACACTGCCCGGATGAGAAACCAATATCATATGTAAGGACCTAATATTAGTACTATGTCACTACTTTTATTCGTATTTTAATATATATCTAAATGTTATTTCCTATAAATTTACACCAATTTTTGGGGAATAGAAAATTAAAAGCTATAATAAGTATATATTATAGTAACACCCAGACATTTGACTGCAGCGATGCTTCCGCGAGACTCCTTTCATGAGACGAACTCTACTTAATCATACATATTGAGACATTCTATAGACTTCTATATTACTCTATAGGAATCAGAAAATAAGCAATAGTCGGTAATCATAAAAACTTTTTTCGTGATTGAGGAGATCGGCATTCCGACACCCTTTTCTTTCAAATTTCGAACGATCAAAAATGACATTTAAAAATCAAAACGTGACGCCTGTCATCGGCAAAAAAACACAAAATTAATTTTTAAACAAAGTTTTTATATTTTGATATCTAACATTATGTATTATATTTTGAAATAAGGTAAAGTTTAACTAATTATTTATATAGATCTTTTGGTGTTATAAAATTACATTTGCAAATCATAAATTCTTAAAAGTCTCGTTCTAAATAGTAATAATTTTTGGTTGTTCCTTTTAAAATGCTATCGATCGAAATGGATCTTTTTATCTTCTAATTGGGTAAATATTCTCCAAAGTTTTACGTTGCTACTGAAAAATGATAGAGGCGAGCAACGCGGAAAATGATACAGTAACTGCACCAGCCATAAATACGGTTAGTTTTACGTATTTTTCTATAAAATAAAACGTTACAAACAATTTATAAAAATCCATTTAATCAAAGAACACGATCACGATCCTCATCTTTGGCCTCATTTTAGAATCTGTTTCATAATAATGAAGTTTTTTTTTTAAATAATAACAGCTAATCTTTATAATAAAAGCGAAATTTATAAAGATATCTTGCAGAGGATCACTTTGGGAACTGTTTATTTATTACATTTATACTATTAGTAGGATATGAATCGGTAACGATTTCACTAAAAAATAAGTCTATTATTAATTTGAGAAACATTACCGTATTATATCCAAATTATATATATTGTTATAAATATAATTCGCCCGCGTATATATAGCCTTTGTCACCCGCGTATGATGTAGCTTCCTATTCAATTCCAACTAACTAACAATCGAATCTTTCCTTTTTATAATATTACTATTGATACATAGGTATAAAGTTAGACCACAAAATAGTTCTTAAACAACTTCCATAAGGTATCGTGTAGAAGCTATTTATTACCTTACGTTCTGTTCCAGGATATACCCAACGAAGAAAATGATGTTGCCCGTTCCGAAGCGACGTTCCGATATACCGTCCAAAATATCAGTCAGCTCAAGGAACAGGTGTTATCACCTCCTTGCTACGTACGATGTCTACCGTGGAAGATATTAATATTAATACGTCACACCACCACGCCGGAGCGGCAACAACAGAAGGCTTTAGGCATATTCTTACAGTGTAACGGCGACTGTGACACACCGGGATGGTCCTGTTACGGTCTTGGCGAATTGAAACTGCTATGCCATAAACCAGACGGCACACATTTGTGCAGAAAACTTCACCATATGTATCACTGGTAAGTTTCTGCCGCCAGTTCTTGTGACAGTGACTCTTACGTGAATTTTGTCAATTCTCTTATACTCAACTAGCTGTTTTCCCGCGACTTCGTCCGCATAAATTTTAACCCGTCAACCGCCTATGATGTAGCTTCCTTTAGGTGAAGGAATTTCACATACAAATAAACGAAGTTACAAGGATAGTTGCAAGGATGCAATTATGGGAACAATTCGTCAAAAAGAACAATGTCGTTAAATTTTAAAAGTGCATTATTTTGCAGAGTCTGAACCTAAAGCCGTTTTTACATCACATTAATTTTGCTAGCAGTTGCACGTGTAAAACGTCCACTTTTGTAATGCGTGCATTAGTTTAACGACTCTAAAGTAGTTTCGTGCCATGCATTTATATGAAATAATTTTCACGCAACTAATTTCATCTCTAATTACATGACGATACTATCTGTGCATAGTAAACTTTCGATATCGAACGAACCAGTGACTCATAGATAGATACTGTTGATTGTACGCCATTATTAAAGCAGTTTCACATGTACCGAAATTAGTTTCGTGAAAGTTGTTAATAGTTTTATGCAACTATTTTCATAATATAAATTCGGCTTATTTATCAGTCTCAAAAATATCATATTTTATTAATACGTTCTTTGCTGTGTTAATATTCCTTTTCTGAATTAGGATAATTTCATTTGACCAAAGGTTACGAAATCTTAACTGCTAGAGACTGCTACTTTAGGAACAAGGATGAATGCCTTTGTGAATTTCATTTATGTTCCTAATTATGTGTAGTTATTTGTATAGTACAACTAGTTAACCTCATGAACTCTATATCGCCTATTAATTAATGCAATAGCAATGCAATAGAAACTTTTATATTAAACAACTAGCTGACTTCATGAAATCATTGTCGCCTATTAAATAATGTAATAGCAATTGATGGCGCAGTCATTGTCACGTAAGACTGCGATACTGAAGTAAAGCGACTTTTACGAAGGCTGATCACAGGATGGGTGACCAAAAATATATCTTGGGAAGGCACGTTTAGCCGTTAGTCCCGACTGCATCTGCAGTGGTGAATACCCACCAATCCGCACAAGGCCCTCGTGATGGATCATGGCTAATTCTCCCTAATCAATTCCATACACAGGAAAGACGTATGCCTCATCAGTGGGGATATTTAAAGGCTGATCATGATGATGATATACGTGAAACACAAATATCTTTTTAACTTTTTATTAACTGACTCCAAAAAAAGCAAGTTATGTTCATCAAATTCGAAAGAAGAAGAAGTCGCATGTAAATGGCTCGTGTAACAACTTCCATTATAACAACTATAAAGAACAGAATAAAGCGTAGAATAAATAAATAAATAATAAACATTTGACAACATCACATACGTTGCTCAGATTCCATCGCAACACCAAGACACGAGACAATATAGAAAAGTTCATTTTTAAAATTGACCCGACCGCGATCAAACCGGGATAGAGCCTTCAGAACCTTCTTTTAATAATGACTTTGCTTTCTTCAGCAAAGAGGACGACTGGGGATTCGCTCATTTTATTTCTTGGGATGACCTCATGAACCCGAACAATGGCTTTGTAAAAGACGACGCGATCATGGTGGAAGCGCATGTGGTGGCCGAAGCACCCCACGGCATCTCGTGGGACTCGAAGAAACACACGGGATTTGTAGGTGAGAGATAATAACCCTAAAATAATAATTCAAAGCTCTGGTTTAAAAATAATGTGTTTATGATGAATTGCTAATTTGTTTTTAGGAATATATAAATCCTGAGGTTCGTATTTGCACGTTGTGGTTTTTGAAATGGCTTATAATATAATTATAAAAGTAAAAATTATAACATTATGTGAGTAAAAATTATATAATTATATAGATTTCTCTTGATACACAGGTTTGAAGAATCAAGGTGCTACTTGCTATATGAACTCTTTACTGCAGACTCTGTTTTTCACGAACGTTCTACGCAAAGCTGTGTACAAGATCCCTACAGAAGGCGACGACAGCTCACGGTCTGTCGCATTCGCCTTACAACGTGTCTTCTACGACTTGCAATTCTCCGACAAGCCGGTGGCGACGAAAAAGCTAACTAAAAGTTTTGGTTGGGAAACGCTTGACTCGTTTATGCAACACGACGTTCAAGAATTTTTAAGGGTACGTCATCAAAAAAGAGTAGCTCGGTGACGTAGTAGATAAGCGCCACGGGCCGCGATCATTGTTGTCAAGCAACTTGCGCAAGGGTCGGTCTCGAGATGAGCGACCAAAAATTATTACCTCTAGCTACTCCGTGCTATGTAAGGCACGTTAAGCCGTCGGTCCCGGCTACTCTCTAATTCAGCCATACTCAACCTTTTTTTTAATGGGGCCACAAACACATTCCGATCTTGAAGCGCGGGCTGCAAAAATATGTAGGTGTTAAAAAAACATAATTCCAAATTGGCGATGTGTTTATTGAAAAAGGAAAAGGTGGTCACAATAAAGCTAACTATACAATACATAATTTTGTAACCTTTATAATATTAGGTTATGATGAAGCCTCATGCAATGTAGATCAAACTTTGAAAGAGCAAACTTTCAACAGTTTTTTTGATGGGCGCGACATTTTAAAACTTAGTCAAAGTTTTAAAATTCCAAGTGGGCCAATCACAAAGGCCCGGCGGGCCGCAGGTTGAGTATGGCTGCTCTAATTCACATTGAGCATGGAGCATGGAGGGTCATGGCCAGCGGCGTGCACACAGATTTCGGGTAGGGTATGCAGCATGTACCTATATTGAAAAAAAACTTACGAAATTTCACCAGAGTTTGACCATATGGCCTGGCCTATCGAAAATAATGATGATTTGATGTTTGTTTATTTTAGACATTGTTCACATAAACAGTTAGCGCCTGACAAAACTTTCGATATGAATCTGAACAATACCTGAATTTTTATAAATTAAATCAATGTGTCTATCTTTTTTAAGTACTTCATTTAGTAAAACCATCCATTCTATTACTTTGATAATTTATAAACTTTAGGAAATATGGTTCTTAAATTATGTGTATTGATTAAAGAAGGTGTAACATTACCCTTTTTTGGTTAAATCTAACTGAGGCAGACACCTTCTCTTTGAAATTATTTAAAATTTTTCTTCCGTAAAACCCCATAATAAGTTAACCTTTGCTATTGTTACTGTTTAATAATATGAATTTTAACCAATACTAAGTGCAGTCTTTGCCTTGTTAATTAATAACTCTTTGTAGGTTTAGTTTAGGGTATGCAACACTACCCATAAAACTCAACAAATTTTTTGCATGTATAGTGTGCACGCTCATGGTTGATTGTCATGGTCATTGTCATGGTCCATCCTCCTTAACCATCCATAAGGAAGGCCTGAGCGCCTGCGGTGGGGACGAAAAAAGGACGAATACTCACACAAAACAAGACATAGAGACATAGATATTATTAGTACTGGAAGCGGGCATTTATAACACCGATTCACAAAAAAGGATCTAAATACGAAACTGTGTATAGTTGCAAAGGTCTTTGAACGTTTAATTTACGATCAGTTATATCCTTGTATTGGACATTGAATTCCTCAGCGACATGAATTTCTGTAAGGTCGCTCAACAATCTTGTTGTTTTGAATGAGACTATTGCTGATACAATGGAGAATTGAAGGCAAGTAGACATTATTTGTACGGTCTACAGCACAGCCTTTGACACACCATTTGTTTCTAAGTTATCTGCGATTGGAACCACGGGAATCTTCCAAGGTAATTTTCATCCTACCTTAATTACCGGTTACAAGCTGTAGTTATTAATATGTAATTACATTTCCAATTGGGTTAACGTCCTTAGCGAAATTTATCAGGCGTGTATCTTATTATTTCAAGCAAGCTTAGACTTTTAAAATCCTATGTTGCACATATGTACGTAATCATCTTGAATATGCATCGCAGGTTTAGAATTGAATTAGATACTCGACTTGCATCTCCAGATTGGAAAATCTTTAGACAAAATTTTGGCGTTATCTATGTTTCTGATTATCCATTTTCCTCCTCTGAATACCTGCTTCACTACAAGAAACATCATCTCGTACCGATGGAGCAAAGTCGTACAATTGCTGATCATTGCTTCTTGCTTAAGATCACATACAATGTCGTCAATAGTCCTCAACTATTAAGTTCGATTTCCATTTACCGCCTCGTAAAATCTTATGATCGAATGCGCTATTTATATTTCTCAATTTAATACTAATTACAGGCAAAATTTCTTTATATGGTGTGCATGTAACAATTTTAATAAAGTATGTATCGAATTTGATTTCGACCTATTTAATACTGGTTTTGAGAAGGCAAAGTGTGAATTGGTGGATAGTTTTTTTTTAGATAAATAGAAAGAGATCCCGAATATAGATATTTATTTAATTGTATCATAGGTGTCGATTATTTGTTTACCAATTTGTAAAGAATCTGTGATAACCTGTAGTTTTTTTATTGTTATATATCTATTCTAGCTGTTGGTCTTCCCAAAATAAATGAATATATCTAAGATCAGTGTACACAGCATGAATATTTAATACATTACACGAGTTCATTACAAATTTACATACAAAAAGCTACTTAAATTGTTGTTATTATAATATACGATACTATATTACAGTATTAAATTGTAGATTAATAAAAATCAGAAAGCCTGAAATATTTTTTTTAATTCAGGTACTTCTAGACAAACTAGAGAATAAAATGAAAGGCACAGTGGTGGAAGGCACCGTACCTAAGCTGTTCGAGGGGAAAATGACGTCATTCATAAAATGCAAGAATGTTAATTGTACCAGTACACGATTAGAAACTTTCTACGACGTCCAGCTTACCGTCAAAGGAATGAACGATAGTAAGATTTAATAACCTAGTTACATAATGAAGTATGGAGAATCAGACTCAACAAAGGTAGTACCCGAATAATTATAGGAATATTGAACCGATTATGAATCGAATGCGAGTGTATGGGTTGAGTGACCACACACCAAAATTATAAGAAATTGAATGATAAAACTTGAAATGTTAAAAATAACTTTTATTGCGTAATGAACTACAAATACTAATGATGAGTCGTGAGTTGAATGTAGACTGCCTCTACATACCTAACGAATGTCGAAATGAAATAAAATTATGACACCATTACAATTAAAATAAAGGTCATTGAACCGTACACCGAATCTCCTCACATGGCGACACCTTAGGTCTAACATACGAGCGTGCGTCGCGACACTTATTATCAATATTTATTTCATAAGTCGTTTGGAAAAGTATGAAACGAAATTAGAACATAATTAGAGAATCGAGTGAAAACCCTTATTAAACTTTCCTCCATATCAACCAATGCCTTGTTGCCCGCAACTCTCCCTCGAGCCACTTACCCTGCTGCTTCGCCCTCATAGCCACAAACAGAAACAAGTATATATACTTTTATGTCGATTCTTGTTAAATACTATATATATTTTTCTTTACTTTTGGTCATTGAAAGAAATTATTGCTTCATATAAATATAGCCAAGAACAAGACGGTATACTACTAAAGTTGAACTGTGTCTTTACTGGACTAGTCCTTAATACTTCACTTGGAAAGTCTTGGACCTATTGCCCATTTTTTTTTAATTATACAGTTGCGAAAAAAACAATAGATCTCGATAGATACTCAATAGCATAAAGGCTCAATGACATAAAATCTATTTAAAAACTTAATAAAAGTTTTATTCCACTGAAACTATGCCGTGACAGTGCAGCGCTTGACATCGAGTTTAAGACAGAATTGTAAAGCTACCATGGTCCTATTGACTTTATTGAAATTAAAATACTACCTAGTCACAAATGTCCTTTACTCAGTTCGTAGTTACACAGTAGCAGACTTATATCCATCCATTAGATAACATTGGTCCATATTAAGAAAAAAGTAATACCACATTGGTCGTAACAAAGTTAGGAGAAAGTCGTAACCGTAAGTTAATTAATCACGTTAACTCGACCGGTAGTTATAGGCTGCCGAAGAAGTTCATGCTCTAACTTTTATTAGTTTCGTATCGGTGGTTTTACTAGAGGTAGAGTAATTTACGAGACAGGAATGTTTGCTATAGTTGTTCATGGGCAATGTTAAATGTTTAATAAGGTTTAATTTCTTTTTAATTAACTCTTCTACATAACTGTTTCGGTCTAGTGTCATTATTATGGAATTACTTTACAAAAAACTCCATCATACAATACTATACCATTACGTAATTTTATTATTATTATTTTCTCATTTGTACATATTATTTTTAGAGCAAAACCTAAGAGATACTTTTTGCTACTTTCATTGGAACGCTTACTATCAAATGACCCATGGGTCGTACACTAATCGACGAAGTTATCATTAAGCTAAAATCAGCTAAAACATACGGCAACTATGAGGGGAAGGGGAATTTGATTCACAATGATAATGCAACATATATGTTTCACTACTTCATATTCTCGAGGGACATTACTGTTTGCTAAGTGTCTAAACGTATTAATTGCATCACTGTATGAACGTACAAAAATTGTATTTTACCTACTGACGGCAAATATGTAAATCAGTCACTATTAGAGTATTACAGCAGTGACTAACATGTGCCAATAGAAACATGTCAAATTATGTGTCCAACTAGCGTCATGATGGTGACGCTCATACCGTCCGTCAACCGTCATATAATAAGGGTAGATATGTTATAATACAATGTAACATGACATGTTTTGACAGCGTCTCTACCTATCGGATAAACCCAAGATACCTCTGTTTTACAGTCTACGAGTCGTTTAAAGATTACATCAGTATAGAGCTGCTGGACGGCGAAAACAAGTACGATGCTGGAGAGCATGGCCTACAGGAGGCGGAGAAGGGCGTCAGATTCGATGAGTTCCCACCGGTACTACATCTGCATCTCATGCGGTTTCAGTATGACCCTCAGAGTGATGCTTCCATTAAGTTCAACGACAGGTAATTTATCCCCCTATAAATGAATGCATGCTTGAATAAACTTTGATTAATTTCACGGAGATTGTATTATACTGGATACTTTAATAGGGTTAATCCCAGTAGATTTCTGTTTCATGGACTTACGTACTTCATGACTTTGCTAGCAGAACTTTAGTTATTATGATAAGGAACCTTTACATCATGTTACAATAGATTTGAATAATGCAAGACAAATATAAATTGAAAGCGTCTTCATCCTTTTTAACCTGTGTTAATAAATACGCATCAAAACTATTTATGACTTAATAATAATATTGAGTATAATAATGATAATAATAATGATTTATTTGCTTTTAAATGAGGTACATTGTCGATTGAATTAAAATTTGAGTTCAGCTCATTTAGCCATCAGCTATAGCATGCAAATATTGATAAAATTACAAAGTCACATTGGATATATGTATGTCAAAATTATTAAATTAGAAATATCATTGTTACATAAAACTATTATAGAGTACAATAATTATTCCAACTTGAAGAATGTCAAACAAATTAAATTATAAATCAGTATCAATATAAAAGAAGATAATGTCCAATTCTACTCCGTGCTTCGGAAGGCACGTTAAGCCGTTGGTCCCGGCTGCATTTGCAGTCGTTAATACCCTCCAATCCGCATTGGGCCAGCGTGGAGGGTCATGGCCCATCCTCCTTAACCATCCATAAGGAAGGCCTGAGCCCCTGCAGTGGGGACGTAAAAGGGCTGGTGGTGGTGAATGTCCAATTGAAGAAAAAAAAATTAAAATAATAAATACTTAATATTCCTCAATAACTGATACTAATCGTCCATGAATTACGTTATTCATGATTTTTAACCCCCCCCCCCCCCTCCCTGTCACCTGTTTGTCTATAAAAATTCTACTAAATATTGTTCTAATGTCACAGTTCCTCGACCCACCCTCCTCCTAACGTGTGACGTAATTTATGGATGGCCTCTTTTAAATATATAATAACACTCGTATTTCTAAATACACCTGATAGATATCAGATAGGTAAATCAGAAATTCTGAAATTTCAAACACAATATCATTACTTACTAGTAAATACACCATCAGGGGATAGGATTCGTTGAACTACTAATCCAAGGCTATAAATGGATTCTGACTTCAAATTAGTGGGTCCAGATTAAAGGAATCCATTTATCTGTATTATATCGTATCGTGCCCGGTTTTGAGTTATTACCAAGAATTCCAATACCTCCGATCAGTTTATTTATGATTAACTTGCCGCACTAAGCTTCGCTTGTGTGAATTTTAATGATTTCCAAAGCCCTATTTAATCCTTACAAGAGTTAAATCTTTCAAAATTCTTTCTCAGCGAACCTATTATATAAGTGTGCTAAACGACAATATTAGATCTAAGCCTATCATTATCCCGATTCTTAGCCAATCTTTACGTGAGCTAAATCGTATACAAATGATATTAATTCCCGAGCATATTAACCAAAATGCCAAAGGCAATCGCATCTGTGATTCAGCCAATCTCTATTCTTAGAATTGGAACATTTTAATACTATGCCTATCCATTTACTGTCAAACCTGTGTTAATGTTTCAATGCAACAGGTTCGAATTCTATGAAGAAATAAATCTAGATCCGTATTTACAAGAGATTCCGTCGACTCCTGCTCACTATACGTTGCACGCTGTACTGGTACATTCCGGTGATAACCATGGTGGTCATTACGTGGTATTTATCAACCCCAAGGGAGATGGCAAGGTGAGAGGTATACTGTACAATCGCCTAAATTATGGTGCACCACTCTGATTGATGTTCATGTGAATGTAATGAAACATGAAGGTTTTATTTCCCCTAGAAATAAAACAATTTGACCATTACATCACATTTTAGACATATCAAACCACATCATTGTTGAGCATCGAAACTCTTTTCGATCGAACAGAAATATTGATAAAAATTTATAGGTAGTGTAACGTCCGTGCATACTACTATAGACAGGTTTACTCTTCGGACGGTTTATGGTCAATGCTGGCCGTCAATATTTTAAATTATTACTTTTTCCGTATTCGAATTCGCGTGTTCGTGTTTTGCTGGTTGATAGTCTTTCTTTCTGATGCAATATCATAGTATTTCGTTATAAATGATTTAATGTTATATCAATTGCAAACAAAATCAAGACTGAGAAATTCTACCAGTATTTCATTGTGCCAACCATCTCCACCATTAGAATTAAAATATTAGAGTAGACCGCTTTCTTAGCCGACAGTACTACCTATACATGTCTACTCTAGGGTAGAGCGATCAGCAGTGTTGCCAACTTAACGCTTTCGGTGCTAGACCTGGCACTATTTTCATAAGGTTATCACTGAAATTTGACTTTTAGCACCTATTGAATTATTATAATATAATTTGAATTATTTACTGCTTACAGTTAGATTTTATAGGTGAGGTCAAAGAAAATGTAATGCGGAGAAATATAAAAATGATTAGAAGACAAAACGACGTCTCTCCGTTAAAAAATTAATTTGATATTTAAATAGTTGGTTGGCCCACGCATGATTCTGCATGAAAAAAATCCATTCTAGGAGATATTGTCAGTAAAGAGGAATGGCTTTATTTAAGTTATATTTTTATAATAAAAAATAAATACATATGATGTGCTTTTTCTTTATTTTTTTGTTTAAGTGAAAAAAATGTCTAGCGCTATTTTTAGTACTTACCTTACGTGTCGAATTGTCAACACTGGCGATCAGATTGTAATATGCGCATGAGTTGCTTTAAAGTCCGATACTGTCATCCTTAAACCAAAAAAAAATACGATCTGGTAAAATGCCACAAAAATAGACAGTGACCTTTATACTGTTTTGCTGTGCAATTGTTTAAACACATATTTATTATAGCACTACTTACCAAGCATTTTCAGTAGCGTGGAGATAGAGCACTGAAGAATTTGTTTCAAAATAATTTTATTCATTGGAAATACCTAACTCAACATATAGATATATTTTTTTAATAGTGGCCGTTATAATATTTTTTGAATTAATAAACAATTAATATTAGGTATCTATGTTTCAATTGATTGCGAATCGATAGTACATCTAAAATGTTGAAAGCCCTTTAACATTAACTCCAAATCCAAAAACGTTTGTTATAATAAAACATCAGATACCATAGCATCTACGTAGAATGTAGGTCCTAGAGTTTATCCTTGTTGAATCACAGTGTTAATAACGTTAGTCAATAAAGTTATCTTTAATAAACAGTGGTGTAAGTTCGATGACGACGTGGTATCCCGTTGCAGCAAACAAGAAGCCATCGAATATAATTACGGTGGGAAGGAAGACGCACCGCATCTCGCACGTCGCGCGACCAGCGCCTACATGCTTATTTACATACAGTAAGAGCACTAACGATTCATATTGGTTATGGTTGGTTATGAATTCCGGATAGGGACATTTAAAGGATGTAGTTTGTTACAATCTTTTAGAACAGGCTAGTTACAATCTTACAATTTTTTAAGAACATTTTTTTTAATTTTATATAGAAATAGTACATTAATATCTGAGAAATAATGTAGAAGTAACAGCATGTCTGCGATTAATTGTTTCGGAGATACGGTGCTGTGTTTGTGGAACTGCTGCTAGTCGGCCGAAAACGCTCCCTACAAATTCATTTACTAAGTGACGTCACACAGTGTTACAGTAGCGAAAAACGTATAGAAGTTTGGGCAATCTTTGCTGTTTTAATGAAAGTTGTTATGATTTTTGATAGCAAATTTTTGTAACATATTTTCTCTACTTTTTTTTCATGTTGACAAAGCTTAACATTTTCCAAATTAGTGCTATAAAATTATCATATCTAATAAAAATATTTTCCGAACATATAACAATGTTCACTTGTAGGACATAACCCTCATTATTTATATGTTATTTTATGATACACGATCACCAAAAAATTCCTGGACTTGCTTTCGAGTTCTTTTAAAAGGCACCTCACGGTAATGAACAAAAATTTGCAAAATCGCGAGCACCAATTTAACTTCAAATAGTATCTATAATAAATATCGATATTTTTTTTTTATTTCCAGAACATCGCAGCTGAAGTACGTCTTACAAGACGTCACCGAGAGCGACATCCCGAGTGATCTCTGCGAGAGAATCAACGAAGAGATGCGATACGAGATGGTAAGGACATGTAAATATCGCACTCTGAACGAATGTATTCTATACATATTTTTTTTTTTATCTTTTTGTTTCGTATAAGCAACGGGATGTTACGCATTTCAGGCGGCAGAAAAATGAGATGCAGGAAATATAAATCTGACACGTTGGTCAGTTCAGCCAAGTACTACGCAAGAATATTCAGCGCACTAAAACAGTTCTTCACTTTGCAGGCCCTAGCCGGCTCTAAATATAAAGGAAGATAGTCCAAAGAAAAACTCTGAAGCAAATGCTACCAGATTTTATTCAATAATAGTTTTGAATCAACGTTTTGCCGATGGCGCTCTATATTTATAGTAAATTCGTCAGGTAGGTTTTTAAGCTTCATAACACATTGCTTTGTGAATATTTTGTTGTTATTTATGTACCGTAATAAAATTTGTTGCGATTAAATAAAGATGGTGTTATAATTGGTTCTATTGATTTTGAAAAATACCATTGTGTTTTGTTTTATCAACAAATAATTAGAAATATTTCTAAATATTTTTTTCAATTGATTTTAGAATTCAAAGTATTTTTAAAGTACAAATCATTGCTTACATTATTCTATACATTCTAACACGCCCAATTTATTCTATACATTCTAACACGCCCAATTTGGAAATCACAAACTGAAATGTCACATCGTAGAAAGAACAAATAACAATTTTATTGAGAAAAAAGTCAAGACGGAAGTTCCATCGAAAGCTTCTTGATCATCGAATCGTTGTGATTTTGATGTAGGTAAATCGACAATAGAAAGCTTTTTGTTGACATATGCCACTGTTATAAGAAAATCAGAATTTAAGGACACATAGCTTACTATCGCTGTCTTCTCAAAAATAGCACGTTACTAAGCGTTGTTCGCAATATTAAGATTTTTGTAATCGATCACAATACCACAGACAAAAGGCAAGAGATTATATTTTTTTAAATAAGTTTGGGGATCATAACATATATATAGCCTATTGGTGTAGAGTTATTCACTCAACAGGAGTGGCCTGTTCCAAGCCTTTCAGTGTTACCCTCGTAACAAAACCTTCGTTCGTGAAAATCCGCATTTTTTTAGAAATTTTTCTGTTGTTTAGATAAAAAAATTCACACGTTAATTCCGTAATCACATCTGTTTGGTCCAAAGTATTTTTTTAGCATCTTGTCTACGCAAACAAAGTACTGTTTTATTTCAAAGTCCAGTTTGTTATTCGAGCATTTAAAAAATCGTCGCTGCGACGGCGCGCTATAAATCTAGAGAGGAGGCAATAAATTAAAGTGCACTGCATCGAGTAGAGCTCTACCTCGCTAGTAGAACATCAAAGTTTAGACCAACGGACCTCGATTAGAAAGAACGAGCTCTTGTGAACATGGATAAAAGACTTAAATATTTCTCTTTGCTTTTATTTGCATTCGGTTTTCTGATCTGGAATTCCGATTCAGATACTTTTTATTCGTTACATTAAATTTCACCAAAGACTGTTTAGTACTTTTTGCGTGGAAAAATAACAAACATTTATACATATTTCGTATAATATTAGAAGGATAGGATTTATCTCACTTCAATGACTTAACTTCTAACCATTGTGTAATAAATAGAATAAATTTAAATGGACTTTTTTAGATTAACTTTTTTAAACTCCATCAATTTCAATACAAAGTCGACAGTTTCGAGACAGATGTTTTGATTATAAGTGAAATTAATAGAAACGGAAAATTGGATCTCAATTATTTCCGATCTGTGATGGCCGGACACTTGATTGATGCCTCCGAGAACTGTTCATTAGCGGGAACAAAGCCAATCCTGAAATATATTCCTTTCTTGTCCTTTTAGTAAAGACAATTCTGTTATATACGGTTGTGATTTATTTACATCCTACCATTTAGTTGATTGGATGTAGCTATAGCTACGTATATTATCTAGTCCAGCAGCATTTAATCTGTTATGGTGTGCCATACCACCGTTTATTTCGTCCTAGGTTTCCGCATTCTTATTGTTCCTCAAACTTTTTGTCTTTGATCTTCTATTCACCTTTCGTAATTTGAAATTTTGTCTCATCCAATATGCTCTTTATGAATGTCAGTTCGTAAAAAAATCATCTGATGTAAACATGATAATGTAATCATATGTAAGCAATCATATGTAATCATATAAATCATGTAATCATATAATAATAATTAAATTGTTATAATTTAAATAAAAAAAATGTTCATTTTGAAGTATATCTTCGTGAAATATCGTCGCAAGTTTTATCTATTACAGAAAACCCAGAAACGGGTTTTCTTTTCTTTTATTTCTCAAGCTTAGTCAGTCTTTCATTCATTCGCCCAAGCATCGAACACGTCCGAACACTTATCCAACCAAAGGCCACATGGGGCAATTTGGGTATAGCGGCCGTACAGTAAACAGTTCAGTTATTCATATTCTTTGTTTATAGTTTTTATTCATATTTTTTATTTATTTCTCAGTATTAATTGTGAGTAGTCGTTAACCATTATAGAAAAACTAAGTTAATTAAAACTCAATACCCATTATACCGATCTGTGATTATTAGATTCGTCTCTGCCAATAATAGCAAAATAATATTTCTGGTAATGACATGATTAATGTAAATTTCATTAGCTAGTAAGTTTCTTTCTCTTGTTCTTCCTGTCAGCTAAAAGATGTCCTGAACGAGTGGTAAGAGAATTTTTTTTTATGGATGGACGATTCAAAAGTGCTTGAAACAACCTTACTTGAATAAAGACATTTTCATTTCATATATACTTATACTATACATATGTATAATGAAGTATAGTCAGTCAGTTTTCTGTAAAAACTAAGTATATATGTAAAGAAAACGAGACGTCATCCTTTCAATAAAAAATCGTCTTTTGAGCATTATTTGATTTGATGCAAGATAAAGATAAAGTCGGTTGAGCTAGTCCCTTCTACATTGATATTTACTTATTACGTAAAAATGTTTAAAAAGGAACGAATGTTTAAAAAGGATTTTTTATAATAATTTTAACTTTGTGTTTTGTTTACACAGCAACAAGAGCTTGAGAAATTCGCTAGTCTCTGAATCTTGGATAGTACTGTGAATGCAAATATAGTCAAATGTAATAATACTACCGAATAAATCTATGAAATCACATAGTACTAGAAAACGCAAAGTATTACGCTATCATAATAATAAGCATATGCTTATTTCCAAATCCTCTTTGCTGACGTCTTAATTCATTCGAATATGTCTAATTACCTACACTTCACAGAATTCATGCATCAGCTAATTGAAGGAATGCCAATATTTTCAACCGAGGAAGGAATCTAGTCTAATTAATCCACTCCACTATTAATTAGGGGAGGTTTTTCGGGCGCAGATTACGCCCCGCATGCGAAGTTAGGTAATTTTACCGTACATTTACTTATACTGCAGGGTAATTTCATTATGTACTTAGTATGATTAATTTATTTACTGATTTGAACGAGTGACAAATCACCAAATGTTAAATAACTATACTTCATTGATTTCGACGCCCGCGGAATCACGTAGGTGTATTTAAGAACCAAATATGGATGATGTGATATGAAATACTAACTTCTCATTAAAATTTGATTCGATAAACTGAATTTTGGGGTGAAGTATTTGTGGCTTATAATTTGTACCTATTGTATTATCTCTATGTATATAAAATTCTCCTGTCACAATTTTCGTTCCCGTACTCCTCCGAAACAGCTTGGCCGATTCTCATGAAATTTTGTGAGCATATTGAGTAGGTCTAAGAATCGGCCAACATCTATTTTTCATACACTTTAGTGATAAGGGTTACGGGAAACCGACTTCCACGTCTCCGAAGTCACGGCGGCCACTAGTATTCTAATAATTATATACCTAACAATATTATTTTCTGAGTTTCTTTTGGATAAGTACTCTTTTGTTTTTCAAAAATTTATTAAAAATATTAATACTTATTAAAAAAATAATTTACAAATAAAAATAGTTGTAATGTACCGTATCTATTTGTAAGAAGTACTAAATTTATTAACACATCTTAAATTGTAATTCAATAGGCAAACTTTCGTCAAAATAAAAACAACAAAAAAATCCAAAACAACGTAACACAGTAATCTGTTGTTGAAAGAGTATACTAAAAAGATAATGCGTTGTATTAAAAAATATAAAATTAAAAAACACTACAGTCAAAGTTGAACTAAAAGTAAAGGAAACGAGTTGTGATAAGACATGAATAATCAAAATTCTCGTTGCTAAGAGATTTAATTTATGAATTATTTATTTTTATTCCATTCCTTTTAGTAAGCAGTGTCATCGTGTATAATTTCGTACATTTTTGGAATCTACTCATCAAGACATTTGATACGCATATTGCTTTAAAGATGATACCCTAAATATTTATATGGAAGAAACATACATACTTAAATTTTTGAGCAGTCAAGTAAAATATCGGTCTCTGTACAAAAAGTAAGATGTTACAAACATAGTAACGCATTGTTGTATTGAAAAAAAAAGATACTAAAAATTTTTTTTATTGTTACATTATTTCTCATTATTTTTTTGTTATTATGCCTACGTCCAGCAGTGGACGAATACGGGTTGATGATGATGATGATGATATCTCATTCGTCACCATCGTGGCTGCAGTCTTTGACACACTCGCTCATTGAGTTAAATCTGTTCTGATTCCCACCGCAACCACCGTAAATGAAAGTTTTACATTTATTCTCGCTCACGTCGAAATAATACCTGGGGATTACATTTCAAAAAGTTAAATATCCCAGTCAAATTTAATCCGACTTAAATCAAAGTCTAGAACAATTTACACTGAGTAATAGTTATAAGAACTTAATCCAAATTCCTGGGTTAGTTTCATTCGTACTGTTTGATAGATTTAGAAAAGTATCAAGAAAAATGGGAGGAAAACAATTATAAGGAAGATGAGAGGGGCCGTTTAAAACAGGGGCATTGTTAAATTATTATATTTAAGAGCATTAATATTTCCTAGGCTACAACAGCAGCTTGCAACTATTTTCTATTATATTAATATTACAACAGCTTCACTTATAATAAATTACCGATGTTTACCATATTTAGTAAATTGGTAAACAATTGTGTTTGTAACCATAGTTACAAATACAATTGTGTACAAATAACCATAACAAACCATAGTTACAAATACAATTGTTTACCAATTTAAAATAAAAAGGTTTTTAGAGATTGG